TTTATTGTAAAGCGCATAGAGCCTGCTGTTGAGTGGGGATATGCGCTATACAAATGCTATTTATTATTATTATTATTATTGTTTTGTTTTTGTTTTTTGTTAGGCTTTTTTTTCTGGCCTTGAGCTCCAGTGTGGTGTCGGTGGGAGCGAAGGTCGGCTGCCCGCGTTAGTTGGTCGGTTATCACAACAAAACAGCTCCATTAATTGGCGTGTCCGTGTTTCACATGTGGCTCTGGGGAGAATCAGTACGGGAATTCAGCGAAAGTTTCACATGAATTAATCAAGAGAAAACTTATGAGAAACTTATTATTAGTGGTAGACGGCTGGCATTTTCTTTTTTTTTTTTTGGGGGGGGGGGGTAGTAGTGAAATGGGGCGCTCACCATCAAAATAATGAATTGAAGAAACAGACATTTAAAAAAAAAAATTTCCTGGCATAGTGATGAAATGGGGCGCCCACCATCAAAATAATGAATTGAAAAACCCGACATTTTTAATAAATCTATTTTTTTGCGCGTGCAGTCAGTAGTTTGCACTGTATATAAATATACTTCCCATGAATTCACGAATGTTTATGGGTATTTTGGAATGTGCAGAATAATAATGGTCATAGAGCATACAATTACTGCCGCTCCAAAATCTGCAGGTTGTTTTATACAGGTACAAGGGGGTTGTTTTATACAGGTACAAGGGTCGTTTTATACAGGTACAAGGGGCTGTTTTATACAGGTACAAGGGGCTGTTTTATACAGGTACAAGGGGTTGTTTTATACAGGTACAGGAGTTGTTTTATACAGGTACAAGGGGCTGTTTTATACAGGTACAAGGGGTTGTTTTATACAGGTACAAGGTGTTGTTTTATACAGGTACAGGGGTTTGTTTTATACAGACAGCAGTCGTTGTAGCAGGTTCAGCTTTACTTAGATGGACAGTTGGAAATAATCATATTATAGAAGAAGAAGAAAAAGAAGAAGAAGAAGAAGAAGAAGAAGAAGAAGAAGAAGAAGAAGAAGAAGAAGAAGAAG